TCGTAGAAGACCAGGACAAGAGCTCCGCCTGCCCCGCGAAGAACGTTAGACCAGGCACCCTTAAAGAACGCCTTGGGTCCCTCATTTTTGATGATCTTACTAATGCAGTCAAGTGTTCCATCGTACAGTTTTTTTCCGCCGGCCTGCATCATGAGGCGACGGCGAATAGTATCAAGTGGATACGAGACGATACCCGCCGCCGCCGTCACGGCCTGCGCAATTGCCCACCGGTAGAGGATGCCAGCGTTCTTCTCGTCCTTGAAGAGCGCGCCCTTGGCAGTATCATAGAGTCCGAAGTAAGCCCCGCGGTAGACAATGATGCCCTGCACGGACACACCGAATCCCTGGTAGAGGGCGAGAGGCCCGCTCGCCTTGGCGACCTTCCCCAGGCAATCCAGCAGGCCGTTGAACTCGCGGGCGCCATCTTTACCGAGATCCGCTGCGAGACGAGTTCGTGCAAAATCAAGCGGGTAGACGATCAGCAGGGAAGCTGCACCGGCAAGACCGCCCGCTGCCATGTTTGAGCCAAAGAAAGCCCAAAACTGAGTCTGCGGGTCGTACTTGGGGAACATGGCCTTAAAGGTATCCTTAAACGCGAAGTTGAACGCTTGGGTAGGAAAATAACGCAAGACATTTGCCGCGTTTCCGCGCCACAGGGCACTGACGCCCTGTTCTTTTGACACGCGCACCAACACGTTCACCACGCCCGAATAGCGGGGCACCTCCCCGGAGGCAATCTTGGGGTTGGCATCTTGTGTCTGCAGCAAGAGCTTGACACGTTCGATAGGAGCCACCGCCGTTTTGGAGACCCCAGCTGCGATTCCGCCTGCCATCCAATCAATGAGAACATCGTTCCAAGTTTTGGCCTTCTTCTCAGACAAGGCCATCATCTTGGCATGAACATTGCTGATAGGAGTCTGCATCTTTGACGTGAAGGAGACGGAGTGGCGGCTAGAAGCGCGTCGGCCTGCGATATAAGACATGAAGAAATAGTTAGGAAGACGTTTGTGAGTTTTTGCAATGTGCAATAGTTGAATAACAGTGAGTTGTACAGCAAAGGAACAAGAACAAAGCCGACGAGTGTAAATTTACCGCACGCGCGAGCCAAGTATTCGATTTCAGAACGTGAGCGCATTTCACTTCGCACCGTCATGAGAGACACCACATGCTTGCGAGTGTATGTCAACGTGAATCGTCAAAAGGCGCGCGGAACGACAAGGCCAACGTAAAAGTCGTGTCTACAAGCCATGAGTGGAGCGGGAGCCACCAAGATCTCTCACAAGAGCCAGCTCGCCCGTCAGCCACGGGCTAGCCAGCCATTTGCTAGACAGATTTATTCACCATCGGGCTCTAGCTTACCCCCACAAGGCACTCAGTGCGAAACACGGAGCACCTCAAACACATGAAAAGCGTTGCGTGTGACACAGGCACGATAAAACTAAGAGTGGGAATGTACGAATGTCAAGAATGACGGAGGCTTCAGTCAGCCTCATCTTGCGCCCGAGGTCCACCAGAGTCACAGAGAGAGCACGCAAACTGTTCAGGCTTGTATGCCGACATTATAGCATTTATCTTCATCGATCAGAGATCAGAACGTGCTCCTGAGAATTTTGAGCGAAAAGACTGACATTGATGTGGTTTTTGTGCAAACCCAGCCCCGTACCATGCATAGTTCTCCGTCGCCTCGCCCGTGTAAGCGTAAGCGAGAGGGAGAGGCAGAAAGTGCGCTGGGAAAAAGGACGTGGGTTCTACCGGCCCTGGATTCGAAGATGTCAATCATTTTAAATAGTTTTCGCGTGCAGTATGTATTTGTTGCTTTCTGGACGTGCGCGCACCAAAGGCATGTCCCCCGTGAATAGTCCGTGCAACAGCACGGGCTGATGACGTAGCCCCCAAGAGGAAGCTGCGACATGAAAAGTATCCTGGACCGGTTCATCCGCTGCTTTTTATGATAATGACCGAAGATCGAGGAGAGGATGCGCGTTATGACCATACACATACTTCTAGCTTGCGCAAACCTACGCATGCGTCACCTGCACCGGACCACAAATTTACGTAGGTTTTAACCGCGACTGGTAGCCTAGTGACCTTGGCTATTTCTTCCTTGTGCATCTTAACCACAGAGGTGGCGGTGTCGTTGTAATGATATCAGAGTGGAACTGACCCATTCCTACAAACGACCAGCGATGAAGGAGCCGTTTATTTTAACAAGACCACAGGACACTAGGAGAGTCATGATTTATCTTGCATTCTTTCTACTTCTTCCGTACGTTACGGGATTTCGACCTTCGTCTCCTGCGGTCAGTTTTCGGAACCGGTATGTCTGTTTTCGCTCTTGCTGCGCAACCAGGGTGGTGCCTTTGTCATGGAAGAATGGCTTAGACAAGAAACGAGTCGCGGGGACGAGGATGTTACTACAGGGGGAGGATGCATCAAATACCCCGTCCACTGGACTCAAGTGGAACCAGGCTATACGAAATAACCTGTTTTTGGGCGTGGAGCCATCCCCAGACGTGACAGCAATTTTGGTGGTGTATTTCGTGCAGGGTGCTATTGGCTTGGCTCGCCTTGCGACAACATTTTATCTGAAGGACGATCTCCATCTCTCTCCGGCCCAGTCAGCGGCCCTCATGGGAATTTTTACGGCCCCATGGCTCCTGAAGCCTTTATACGGCTTTCTTTCTGACGGGTTTCCCTTGGGCGGTTATCGACGGCGCTCTTATCTCGCCATCTCCGGCTTACTAGGAGCGGTGTCATACTTCGTCCTGGCATTTCCTGGGCTGGTTGACTCTGTGGCTGCGGCGACGTTAGCATGTACGTTCGGCTCTTTGTCCGTGGCGGTCAGTGACGTTGTGGCTGACTCAATTGTAGTTGAGAAAATTCGTACGGAAAGTCCCGCAGGCAACCTCAAGCTTGCCGGAGGATTGCAGTCCTTGTGCTGGGGAAGCTCTGCCGTGGGAGGCATCGTCAGTGCCTATTTCTCGGGATTTCTGCTCGAGCATCTTGGCACACGGGCAGTTTTCGGGATCACTGCCATCTTGCCGCTCCTGGTAACGCTTATTTCCATGGGCATCCAGGAAAGACGCGTCACAGTGGACTACTCGCACTCATGGAACAGGGCGAGGGACCAAGTTGCTGCGCTGTGGTCTGCGGTCTCCCAGAAGTCCGTCTACTTGCCTCTCTTTTTCCTGATACTGTGGCAAGGAAGCCCTTCAAGCGACTCCGCATTTTTCTACTTTTTAACCGGTGAGCTTGGCATGGGACCCGAGTTCCTAGGCCGCGTGCGCCTGGGCACCAGCATCGCCTCTCTAGCTGGAGTCTGGCTGTACCAGCGCTACCTCCGGGAGGTGCCTATTTCCAAAGTTCTGCTCTGGACGACGCTTGCTTCGGTTCCGGTTCGTGTTGACGGGCAGGATATATTATGAGCGACAAATTGACTACTGTCTCATGCTCCCCTTCTTGTCAAGTGTATGTGTTTTGGGGATGCAGAACTTCTTGACAGCCTGCGTTTAGTCAACAGTCTCTTTTAACTCTTGTAAACGACATTTACAAGCCGTGATGCGCTTCAGATCCCTAATTCCGTTTTCCTGTTTTTATCTTTCACCCTCCTTTTCTATAGTTAGGTTTGACACAGCTTGTTCTCGTGTATCATATTAATGCGGGTCTGGGCATTCCTGATGAGGTCTTCACATTCGGCGATAGCGTTGTCCTTACCGTGCTCGGCCAAATCGCCTTCATGCCCACTCTTGTTCTGGCAGCGCGGCTTTGCCCCCCTGGCATCGAAGGCACTTTATTCGCAACGTTAATGAGTGTCTTTAACGGCGCAGGAGCACTCGGGACCGAGCTAGGCGCTCTCTTGACTTCTGCACTTGGCGTCACCGAACGCAATTTCGAAAATTTAGGTTTGCTCATCATTATCTGCAACCTGAGCAGCCTTTTATCCTTGCCTTTCCTTTCCTTGCTGGGAAATGAGGATGATAAAGTTGAAGTAGATAGTGGTACATGAGAAATCTGCACACAATGACACACAAGGCGAAGTCCTTTTAAAAGAGAGATGAGCTCTTGATGATAGTATGTACAGTATGCGAACGCCAAATTAATCTATGCTGTCACATGTGCGGTAGCCCGCAGCCTATCCATCGGGCATACCGACTCAATATGCATTGGTCCAAACTAGTGTTGCTTCACGCAGATGAGATGGCTACTTTAGCAACGGTCACTCCGCACTTGCTTACTATTGCCCTCTTTCCAAGTTTGAGTACCTCTTCTAAAGTCGCTCTCACTTTCCGTATTTCCGACAAATATCTAGGTGAGCACGCGACAAAGAGCACTGATGCAAAGAAGGAAAGCTCGATCTCGCGGTGATCCCACAAAGGGTTCGAAGCAGCCTGCCAAGTTAAAGGAAGGTGCCCACTCACTAGGGCAGCGTGTTCTCCTTGTCGTCGCCCATCCCGACGATGAAACCATGTTCTTCTCACCAACAATTTCTCACTACCGCCGTCTCGGCTGGAGCACATCCTTGTTATGCCTCTCAACTGGTAAGCCTGGAAGGTGCTACCATTAAGGAATAAGAGAAGGGCATGAGGCTCCTTTCATTTCTTGCAGCCCAGGACGACATGCATATGCTCACCTATTGAATGTATCATAGGCAATTTTTATGGTCAAGGTCCCGTGCGTTCTGGAGAACTTCGACAGGCGTGCCGTCTGCTTGGAGTTCCTGCACGCCAGCTGACCATAATTGACAGAGAAGCCATACAGGCAAGAGTGTAATGCGATCGCTCTCCAGGATTTGATCCTACATCAAAATTCTATAACAAATCTCCGTTTATGTACAATTTATCTGTAGTACAGGATAGTCCGACCAATGCGTGGCCGGAAGCATCTCTTTGCCCTATTATCCTCGACGCGGTGAAACGCAATGATGTACAAGAGGTACATATGGAACAGACTTTGTCTGTGATGACAAGCACACCATGCTCACATGTTTCTCTGGTTGACACAGGTTGTGACGTTTGATGACAGCGGAGTCTCGGGTCATCCAAATCATGTGGCACTGTCACGGGCGGTCGACTTTCTCGTCGGACCTCAAAGTAAAGAATTCGTGATGCCGCGCGGCGTTAAGGTTTGGAAATTGGAATCAACAAATATGTTTAGAAAGTATATTGGCCCTCTGGATATCCTTTTTTGTATCGCAACGTCAATGTGGTTGTGGATATATGTGAACTGCAATCGAAAGGATCTATCTGCAGGAGGATGGCGTCACAGTCTATCAGGCAACAATAGGTTTCTGCTATGTCTCAACGACAGGCCAGTCTTGACGTATCAGGCGATGATGGCACATGCCAGCCAATTTGTATGGTATCGCCGCTTGTTTGTGATATTTTCCCGCTATACATATGTGAATACTTTGTGGGAGGCGGGTGAGGGACGCCATGTTGACAGCAATCATGCGATAAATGAAGAGTGGAACCTATAATCTATGATAGTAATAATTGTAGAAGCACGTGTCACTAAAGCTCTTAAATCAAACAGTCGAAATTTTGAAGCTGGAATTGCTTTCACTACGCAGTCAGGCGGTGCGTCTGATGAGACATCTCCTCGATAGGCCAAGACATGGGCCGCAGTTTGGAAGGGTGATACGAGCGTCATTGGACGGCGAGCGCTTAAGCTTCTGCCAGACAAGTCTTCCTTCGTGTGTATTGTGCGAAATTTCTCGCGTACCACTTTTTCACTCAAGTAATCATAGCATGCTCAATTGTCTGCGCTGATCATAAAAATCCATCTCTTACTGGGACTGCCTATCATTGTCGTTCTCCAATTGCAGGTTGCCGCGTCTGAGGAGGAAGGCCACTGTAGGTTCTCGCTTACCATCAGTCGAGATGCCAGCAGATAGTGCCTCCGTATCTTCAGAGCCCTCAAGCTTGTTGTCTATCGTAGATCGAACGGCCTACGATCGTCTTATCAAGTCAATCGCAGATGCGCTTCCGGAATCTACACGGTCACAGTTTCGAGGTAAGGAAGAGAGGAGATGGAGCGCTTCAAGAAAGTGATATGTATGTATATATATGAGCCTTTCTCTGTTCCCATCGCATGATCTCTCAGATGAAGCAAAAGAATGCACAGACTACGCTAGGGCACGAAAGTTGATAGAGTTGATACTGGCCCAAAGTGCGGTGATCATGGCTCGGCCAACAGAGAAGGACATCGAGGGCTCGTACCAGGTGAATTTCTTCCGGTGAAATCGCGCGTCCCATGAGAGCCTTCCCCTTGAAACGTTGCTCGTACATTTGTCTAAGACACATTTATTTTGGCGGCCCTGTAAATGAACAGGTATTGATATCGTTGTTGGATCGCTTGTCGGATCCGGAAGACCTCCCGATTATGGTCGATAAGATCCTCTCTAACTTACGCGCGTCTGTGGAGGATAAACCCAGTCTCAGGTTAGATTCAATTTTCCACCAGGGGCAAATTTGATATTCATATTATCCTGGCGGTCTCGTCCTCCGTAGCCTGACTGTTCTAAAACTAAGTCGATTGCACAATTTACGAAGGTTGAAGCTCCTTTGCAACTTCTACAATCTCTTGAAATCGGGCACATCTGAGCGCTTTCAAGTTCTTCTAGTCATCATCGAGTATGCTCGTGACACGAAACAGGTAATAGAGGAGGAAAAATGGAGGTTTTTGCTTAAGTGTGGTCATGTCAAGTGTTTTACTCGATCTAGAAGTGCGCTCAGTCTTGATAATCCATCTCTCATCACGACAACTCTCGCTAAAGCTTGATATATTGTCAGATTTTTTTGCCGATTTGGAAAACTGGAAAAAAAATTGGCGGCATCTCTCTGCGGAGGACGAGCGACAATTGTACCTGCTTGTGTCGGAAACCTTGGCTGGCTCTGGGAAGGTAGCTGAAGCTCAGCTCTTTCTCATTAAGTACCTGGCAACTTTCCGGGAGACGGATCCCGGTCTTGATACGCCGGTAACAGTTGCGCTCGCGGTCAAGGGCGTGATTGGAGCCGTCAGAGAGCCCCTGAACGCGCTCAGGTCAGCGTCTGACCTGTTGAGCTTGCCGGCCGTCAAGCGCCTGGCCTCTGATCCGGCGCACAAAGCTGTGCATGAGCTTCTGGAGATTTTTTGTTTTGGCAAGCTTGCAGATTTGACGGAATATGAAGACCGGAATCCGGGTGTCTTGGAAGCAAATGGAGTGGGTCGAGAGAAAGCGTTTCGTGACATGCGCCTCCTTTCCCTCAGCCTGCTGGCCGCAGAGTACGAAGAAATTCCTTACGAGGCCGTCTCAGCGACATTGCAGGTGCCTCATGAAGATGTGGAAAGTTGGGTAGTAGAGGCTATCACCGCGCGCCTTTTGGAGGCGAAAATGGACCAGGAGCAAGAGGTAGTGATGGTCACCCGCGCCTCGCACAGGCATTTTTCTCATCAAAATTGGCTTAGACTCCAGGAAAAACTCCACGTTTGGCGACAGAATGTCAGCAGCCTTCTTGTTTCACTCAGGGAGAAGAAAGGAGCGCGTACTCAGGCCTCGCGAGTTCAAGAGAGCCAACAGTATGTACGCTCCTCTCATTCCAACTAGGAGTGACAGTGTTCTAACTCGAGAAATGAAAATCTGAGCTCCTTCCCCAATTGGAAATCTTAATTGGAGGGACAGCACTGGGATGTAGCTTAGTTTCATGAAGAATACGTCTCAACGGAGAGCACGGCGGTGACAGTTGTGAAGCTTTTCGTCCTTTCGTTTCCTTTGCCACGTGCTTGTATCCTACTTTCTCGACCGACGTTCCTCTCTCTTTGCCCCGGTTCTCCAGCGTCTATCAAGACACAAACCCTTCGGCAAAACTTGTCAGTCGTACGAGAGGGGCAGACGATGGACTCCGTACACAACAGTCCCTCCTTATTCGGGGGCTGTCATCGAGCATTCACTATACCTCCATTCCTGGTTTAGGATCCCACTTTCACGCTTTGAACAAAGTACAGCACTCCTGACGTTCTTGTCCTCGCCATCGCTGTCGCCTTCACACCTCCTACGAGTGGTGCGAGACGCGTGAGTGAAGGGCGCAGGCAGGACGATCACGGCATCGGTCACTATCTTACGGAATCATTCGAATTGGATGTCTTGACCTTTCGACGCGGAATAGATATGACAAGCTAGAGAACAAGCCGCAGGGTCTCCCAAGCGCTTAGTCCGCGACACGTACCTCACACCACTTGTTCTCCTCCCTGACTTGCGCCTCCTCTTCCGGAGTGAAGTCGTTGGTGATATTAAAGGTGCGGCGGATTTCCTCCGGTGTCTTCCCCTTTATCATGCTAGCCACCGTAGCACATGTGAGATCTAGTAGTGGCTTAATGTCCATGTAGTTCGCTGCCAGAATCAGTTCGAAGAGAAGCTCCTGATCCACGTTGACGAAGTTTGCGTACCAGTCTTGCACCACTTCGTGCATGTTCGCACTTTTCAGAGGCTATGTATGCCAGCGGAAAATGAAAGCGTCAGATTACTACGCGACCTCGGAAACCTGCCCATATCGAACTCTACCCATCACCTTCTCAATGTCGTTCATGGGGTCCTCCTTGTGGTGTTTGCAAAATTCAATCACTTTCGCAAGCACGTTGTTCTTGACATTAGGGAGAGGAATTTCCTGTGTTTCGCTGCTGTCATCGTCTGGGAAAGGAGAGGACATGCGTTTCAGTGTAGGGCAGTTATTTTGCTTTAAGTCATCAAAATGCAAACGTTAGGAACCCCAGCTTAGGGCCTTAAAAAACTCGAAGCGTCTCATGTCACAAATTCACCGACAATGTGCTCGCCAACGTTTCCCTACCTCCCTTTGTGTAGCTCCTGATCCATTTTCTGAAAATATCATTTACTTACCATCTGGAAGCATTGTTTTCACCAGTTCACTCATTTTGCAGACTGAGACCTCAACCTCGTACTGGTCTCCCTCCTGGCTCACTAAATGTACCACTTTCCCGGATTCTGCTCCCTTCGCTTTGTCACCCATACTACCTCTGAAGTCCAAGAAAGGTTTGCGCTACATCCAATGATGAGATGAAAAGAAAAGTTAGGTAACGGGATGAGCCCGCGGGAGTCCAAGAGAAATTAGAGGAAAAGGAGGATTCTCGGCGGGAAACGAAAAGCGGTTTCCTACAATGCTTTCCAGGCGACATGATTGAAAGCACTGTTGTGATTCTGTCCCTGCTAATAGACGCCTACGAGGCTGATCGGATTGGTAAGCACACTCGAGAACATGGTCGTCTTTCATCTCCACTAGATGAGAGGCCGCGGGAGGTTTGGAAAACGCCTTTCATGCCTTTCACTATGCATCAACGAGGCATCAATTTCGCGCATGTCTTCTAAGCTCTAGTAAACATGCAGTCACGTATGCGCAACAGGCAATCATTTTCACGGAGTTCGATTTGTGCTTCGCATGTTGAGCTAGTTCGAGCTGTCCATGGTGTCTTGGCGAAGAAATTCCATGAGTTCGCATGCTGCGGCCAACAGCGTGGACACTATGTCTTTTTGTCGCACCGTTGCCGTACAATGAGACTGTCATGGGACTACGACGTCTTCAATGGTTTCACGTGTCATCACTTTGGCGCCTGTCTTCTCGTTTCGTCCTCCTAATCCGAATTCCACTGCCATGCCGTTTTCGAATCGCTCCGCGCCGAGGAGATGGGGGGTGGCGCTGTCGCAGGACGTATATAATCTCTCGCCCCTCACGGAACCGGCTATTTTAGCTAAGCATAGCGTTCATCATTTTCGTAGCTTACATTCACTTGGAACCCGCGTCTCTTCAACCAATCGCAAATCACTCTGGACAGGGAGGGGAGCAGACCTGAGGCGAGAGCACTCACCACTACCCGATCGCTTTGCCATGAATTTGACGAGTCCAAACTAAGGCTTGATGTCCTCTTCGCGCCAGGGGTACTTGTGGAAGTGCACAGCCCGGGATGGGGGTGGAAGTCCTTCTGCCATGCAACGCGTGTACTGCGTGCTGGCGGGGACAACCTTGTGGGACTATGACACGGAGGACGAGGCGGCGTTGGGGCAGCGACCGCGCTCCGAGGTGGATGTTATTGGTGTTTCACCATGGGACGGAAAAGCCCGCTACCAGAACTATACGTTCGGCTTCTTATTTTTGTCGACACAGGGTACAACTTATTATGCTGTGGCCCATAGCAAAGATGACCTGGAGTACTGGCTATCTGCCGTACGCGTTGGCCTGCAGGTCAGGTTCGGGATGAGGAAAGTGACAAGTGAAACATTCATAAACATAAGCCAGAAGGAAGTGGAAGATGGTGAAGATGAGGATGAGGTGGAAGAAGAGGAGGAAGAGGAGGAGGAGGAGATGCGAAGGACGGTGGGGCGTGCACATGTCCACGACGAAGGGAGGAGGAAACAAGCAGAGGACGGAGTAAATAATTCTGATCGTGGCTGTCGTGATGGAAGTTGTGAGAAAGGCGTGGAAATGAAGGACG